AGGGACCACTGCTCCAGACTGATTGCTGTGCACCCAGATAATCTGCCTCTACCTCCCAAGATCTTGGAAGCTGTGTCTTTGTAGACTACTCTCCTGTTGAGAGGAGGAAGTTAGTCATTCTACATAATCCCCCTGAGAGGACTGAATGGGACTATAGAATAGGTTGAGAAGTGTTCCTTGGAAGCATCCAGATGTGCCACCAAGATATGAAAATATAATCTAAAATCATATACTTTGAGAGTTTGTGTTCTTCTAGATGACCACATAATCAGAACTCTTCCTCCATCTCCTCTTTCCTATTCCCATTGCTTATGAGTTGTCTTACTACTCATTGAGCTAATATAGGTGTGAAAGGTAATTTTCAACTTAAAGACCTTGTTAAAAGGTGGGAAAGAATGTACGTACCTAGTATTTAAGATTGCCAAATATATATATAATGCATTGAGAATAGGTTTTGTTTTTTGGTTTTTTTGTACTAAATGGTTTYGATTTTTTAAAACTGAGGTTGAATTAATGTAGACATGTGAGACAGTCTAGAAATTGATATTTGAAAGTTCCATCTCAGACTGTTTTCTATCCAGATTCTTTTGGTAAGGAGACCACTCAACTGTTACTGGGTTTGCCATAGCCAAAGGATCTGAAGCGTGCTAGAGGTTTTACTGTATATTACTCACAGTAGATTAACTGCCATAGCAAATAGTAGCTTAACACTGTATATTTCTTGTATATGTATGTATGTGACACTAATCCCATTAAGGGGACTCTGCCCTCATAAACTCTTCTAAAACTATTTCCCACAGGTCCCATTGCCCAATACCATCACATTGGGTGTTAGAGCTTCAAGATATGAATTTGGTGGGGGACACAAACATTCAGTTCATAACAGCCTCTATTCCTTTTGACATGGGGGAGTAAAAGTGCAAAACAAAATATGCCATTTTAATTATATTAAGTGTACTATTTCATTAGTGTTAAGTATAGTCACTTCATTGTGCAAACCAGTCTTTCATCTTAAAAACTGAAACTCATTACTCATTAAATAACTCCCCATTTCCCCTCCTCCCAACCCTTGTCAACCACTTTTTCCTATGAACTTGATTACTCCAGATAACTCCTAAGTAGAATCACACAGTATTTTTGTTTGTGACTGGCTCCTGAGGTTCATCTGTGTCGTAGCATGTATTCTAATTTCCTTTTTTTTTAAGTCTGAATAATTTTCCATTGTATGTGTAGAACTCATTTTCTTCATCTGTGTACACTTGAGCTGTTGTACCTTTTGGCTCTTGTGTATCATGCTGCCAAAGACACTGGTGTGGCCTCTGTTACAAGTAAACATGGAGATTGCTCAATAAGAGTCATAAAGGGAGTCATGGAGATCATCCCCAAAAAAGAGCATTTTCTGGAAGTATTGTACTGGTAAAAATAATATGTGTTACCTAAGTTTATAATGTTAAGAAAATTACTACTGTGTTTATAGGTAAGGTTAAACRTGGATTTAATGAATGGAAAGCTAGCTCTACCACGCGGCCTGCGCAGTGGTTTCATTAATGAGGTTCTAGGCATAAAGTTAGTTAGAAGAGATYGAAATAAAACACACAGACTCAGTTACCTTATTTCTATTGCTAGGTCCRAGACAGCTCCCCTCTCTGGTTTGCTCCTCTAGCCGCCCAGCAGGGCAGCAAGGATTACTCAGGGCTAGCAGGAGAGAGAGAGAGTGAACACGCCGGGGACTAGCCTTTTATTGGGGAACAAGAGATTTAGGGGAGAATTCCATCCAATGAAGGTTGAGGGGGGCTGCACTCCAAGGTCAGGGTCAGTGATTGGGTCCCCGGGGTCAGTGGTCAGGCACACCCCCACACGGATGGGCTCTCTCATCAGGAAAGGGTCGGGAAAGCTTCGACACTGCCAAAGCRCCTCAGAYCCTTAACAGGAGTCACCCAATCACGTGTTAGAATGGCTTCCCACAGCTAGCTTTTTCTAGAAACCAGTGTTTTCATTCCTTGAAGTTAATGAAGAAAAAAATGTGTATCAGCATTGTTTTATGACTGTTAAAGTCTATGAAAATATAGTAACTGAATTTTAGGATTACTGAACTAAGATTTACTTTTATTTATCATTTAATTAATACAAATATATTGAGCATTTAATGTGTAAGGATAATAGCAATAAGTCAGTMCCTCAAGGAGTAACAAATTTAGTAGGAACAAATAAGGCAAATAAATAGATACCTAAAAACATCAGGTAGAATCTTGAGATCACGGGAGTTGTACATCTAAAATGTTACAGCCCATAGGGGAGGAGATCTGGAAAAGAAAAAAACATTGATTTTTGAAACTTAGCAGATATAGGTTTGAATCTCAGAAAAACTGTCTCATTGTAATCTTGGGGAAGTTAATATCTAATCTTCTAGCTTCCTTATTAAGTTTGTGATAATAGCACTCACTTTCARGTTTCTGTGAAGATGAAATAATATGTATAAATCTAACAGTGGTTGGTATTACAAATGTGGTAATCATTTTTATTAATATAATTGAAGAAAGTTATGTTCACATTGGATTAGAAAAATGAATTACCTTATACTAATTCATGAGCTCATTCATTCAGTGGTCTTTGTGAGCCACCAGTATGCACAGAGTGTTTTGGATTAGAGAGAGAGAGAGAGAGAGAGAGAGAGAGAGAGAGAGAGAGAACGAACACATACCTGTTTGTTGAGAACATACCTGTTTGTTTTCTAAAGCCCTTTTCAGTTTTTAACAGAAATGATAACAGGTCTGTAACCACTAGGTTTATTAATTGCCTTCTCCTCTTTCACCTGCCTAGAGACTTCCTGGCATTGTCTGAATCCTCCTTCTTTGCTATAGAGATTTTCCTAACTTCTTATTCCACATTGTCACCTCTTTTATCTACTCCCCTGTTTTTCCTCATTTTCATTTCTTCACCTCAGGAAGCCTTTTCTCATTGCATACAACTCTTAACTTGGTCCACTTCATGAAATTTAATTTCATTTTTTTTCTGGTTACCTCAGGAATAATTTACCACCTTCTTTCTGTCTTTGCATTCACATCGGATTGTATCCCTCATAGATATTCTGGTGTATCCTTAGAAGTTTCTGTCTCCTGATACTATAGTCAGAATCCCTTGCACACCTACTATCTGCCAGGTGCTCTCTTGGGCCTCCTCATCCTCCAGCAATTCTATTGTAAAATAATTGGAGTCAGGAACTAGCTGAACACCTTTTTGAATTCTCAGTATATCCTTTTCACATAGAAAATAGCCTATAAATATTAGTTGATCAGACAGAGGAAGAATGATTAATTGTACATAGTATTAAAAATATTTTTCATTATTTCATATGCAAGTATATTTTGTTTCATTGCCAGTATTGCAAAAATACTCCTTTTATGGTAAATACAAAGTCTCACCTGATTATATATTAAATGTGCTTTTGTGGGATCAGTAGGAACCATTTACTGCACTGCTTTTTTGGAAAATGATTCCCAAGTTCTAAACAACTAGCTGTGTAGAAACCATTTTTGAACATAAATTGTAAGATGTGGACTATCTTTTCAGAATTTTCTCCTTTTACTAATCTTTTTTAAAGGGGATTAAGTCTTTGGTAAAAAGCACTTTGTATTTCTTGTTCAATGAATGTTTTTTGTTTTGTTTTGTTTTGTTTTTGTTTTTGTTTTGTTTTTGCCACAAAGATTCTTAAACTTTTTCGTTCTCAGGGAATGAAGTAACTTCTAGAGCCAACTCAAAATAGATAGAAGATTAACAGCTGTAGCACACGTTTGCTGATGTCATAGGACTGTGACTTAGGAGAAGCAGACCTCCCACTATAACTAAAAATGGAATCAAGTGCAGAACATACCCATTTACAGATCATTTATTTTACATTTCTTATTGTCAATGAATATACATATTATTTTGAGAACTTGYTCAACATTTATCAGTTTAAGAACAGTATCTAAGTTATGTCATATCCATACCTATCCTGCTACCATCCCACTTAGGACTTTAGTACCTCTTTACTGAACCATTACACTAGCATCCCACCCATGTCTCATATACATTCCTTCCCTGTCCAGCACACCACCAGGCCCAAACCTCCTCACACATACACACACCCTTTCATAAATGCTCCTCAAAAACTCTATGGTTCAGGCATGGTGGTACATACCTGTAATCCCAGTGTCTTAGGAGGCTTATGCAGGAGGATTGCAAATTCAAGGGTAGCCATGCAACTTAGTGAGACCCTGCCTCAAAATAAAAAATAAAAAAATAAAAAGAACTGGGGATGTGGCTCAGTGGTTAAGCACTTCTTTTTTTTTTTTTTTTTTTGGTATTGGGGAATAGCAAAAAAAAAAAGTAAACCAATCCTTAATTTCCTGATTTCCTATTCTTTTCTCCCTTCCTTTCTCTTTTATGATTAGAAAAATCAAAACAAGTAAATATACAGAAAGTTTTTGCTCACCATTCCCCAAAGTCATCCCTACCTCTTGTTCTCCACTGGTATATGTCTCTATCCATTTAAAAATGTCCAGGTGTCTTGAAGGGTCCAGTTTAAAAGTCATATCATAGTGTTTTCCTGGTCATCTTTTTCATCACATAGACAAATAACATTTTTCTTAGTTCCCTGGGAACTTTATACTTATAGAACCTAGGATTTGCTGCCTTGAATTACATTATAGTTGGTAGTTTACGAGCTTCTGAAGAATAGTATCCATGTTTGGTTTAATTTCATATACTTCTTAGCTCTTAGCAGAGTGTGCTCACTAGAGGAGCATAAAGAGTATTCATTCAACAGTTGTTTCTCTTCAAGATAAACTAGTTTCAGTATACCTAATTTGAACTTGTTATTTGTGATACCACCTTATATTATGTCACATTTTTTCCTCTGGATTCTCAAGGTGAAAATGAAGTCCCATTTTAGTGACAAGATTGATCTTGGTTTTTATTTGAATCTCACAGTCAGTGAATTTCACCCTCTCTCYCCATAGCCTCGTGTGCAAGCTAAACACAAGGACCACCATACTAGCAGCAACCAACCCTAAAGGCCAGTATGATCCCCAGGAGTCTGTGTCTGTGAACATCGCCCTCGGCAGCCCACTTTTAAGTCGATTTGACCTGATCCTGGTTTTGCTTGATACCAAAAATAAAGACTGGGATCGTGTAATTTCCTCCTTTATCTTAGAAAATAAAGGTATGTGAAAATATACAAATAATCCAATATGGCAAGGAAAGATKAGACCTGACTAAAGGAAATTTCTCTTGAAGAAAATTAAATAAATCTCACAGAGGGGAGTGAGTGAGAGAATCTGGTTCAGGGGCCCCAGAATAATGAGGAGAAGGAAAAGAGGCTTTCTCCACCTGGTACAATGAGCTTTTATATATATGTCCTTTGTGATGAAAGGGTGCAACCTTATGATATAAAATTTCCATTCAACTCTTGCACATAAAGAAAACTGAACTGCTTTATGAGTTGAAATCTCTAAAAGTGAGCTTTACATTTGTTACTATGAAGCAGACCAAAAGTGTTCTGAATAATTTTAACCCTTGAGATAGCTTGTTTTTATTAAGCTTAGATTRTAAGTCTGTCCATTCTAGAATGTATGCTTTACAAAGAATAGGACTAGATTTCAATGAACACAAAAACCTAAATGAGTACAAGAAGCTGGTGTAGTGTCACATGCCTTATAATCCCAGTGACTAGGAGTCTGAGGTAGGAGGATCACAAGTTTGAGCCAACCTCAGCAACTTGGCAAGAACCTGTCTCAAAATAAAAAGGACTGGGGAATGTAACTCAATTGTAAGTTACTCCTGGGTTCAATCCCCAGTACCAAAGATAAATAAAATAAAATTATAAAAAAATGAGTATAAGAACTTTATCAAATCCCTTAAGATGACATATTTTCCTGTTCTTAAATTTTACTAACCCAACATGTAATATACAGGTTACCCAAGCAAATCAGAGAAGCTGTGGAGTATGGAAAAGATGAAAACCTACTTCTGCCTCATTAGGACTCTCCAGCCCACTCTGTCTGATGCTGGCAATCAAGTTCTTCTCCGGTACTACCAGAGGCAAAGGCAGAGTGATTCCCGGAATGCCGCCAGGACAACCATCCGCCTGTTGGAAAGCTTGATTAGATTAGCAGAAGGTTTATCTCTTATTTGGTGATACTTCTCTTGAGTGCCTACTGTGTGCAGAGCATGTAGCTTGGAACTGTGGAGTCAAGAATAAATTGGGATAATCCCTACTCTAAGATGCTCACAGTCACTTAAAAAGAAAAGGCTGTGAGCCCTAAGACTTCCACTCATCAGAGGACAGATAATGGATGTCAAGTGGAATGTTGTATCTTTAAGAAAGAGGAATCTTGGTTGACATCTCAAGACCTCCCATAACTTAGCATACCACTATTTAGAAAGCCTCATTTCTGATGTCTTCTCAGTTCTATTAGCTTTTTTAGTGGAACAGTTACTTGCTTAGAATTGTTTTCCATATATCTTCTGTGGTTCTTGCTCAGTATTTTCCAGTCATGACCCATCCCCATTGTTAAAACAACCAAATCAACAATGCCATGTCCTGTCCCATTCCTAAGTCATAGAACTTAACATATACACGTATAGCTAATGTGCCTCTCAAACATTTATTTTCTAACATTGGCTTTTACATTTTAGATTATGTTTAAATAATATTTTAAAAACTTCCCATGAACTTTATGAATCACATGATAAAATAATATAAGCTTAATAAAAGATACYATAAAAGTAATGGACCTCATTTTTTTCCAAGGATTTATGTCTAATATTAGGGCAAGAGTACCCAAAATTCAAGCTTGCTTGTCAGTAGTTTTGAAAAGCTCATAAATCATAGATTTAAAAAAAAAACAGAATTGAGAAATGAGTTTTATTTTGTGTAGTTTTATAATAGATTAAAACAAGGACTAAAAGTTGCTAAAGTATTAAATATATGTTTCTGTAGCACCTTTCTATACTGTCCAGAGTACTTTCTCATGGATGTATACAAAATTGCATGACGTGTGCAGAAGGATCAGGTCTATTGTTAGAGAAACAACTGTAAAACTAGTTGCATATAGAATTTTGTGCTTGTTCTAGTAAAATTAATTTGTTATTAGTGTTCATTCATAAAGCATGATTTGTGTGTGTGTGTGTGTGTGTGTGTGTGTGTGTGTGTGTGGAGGAGAGCAGGAGTAGAGAATTACCTGTATCATCCTAAATAATCCTAAATTCAAATGCATTTTATTTTCTTAGCTCATGCTCGGCTAATGTTTCGTGATATTGTGACTCTAGAAGACGCTATTACTGTGGTATCAGTAATGGAGTCTTCAATGCAGGTAAGGATATTTTGTGTATCTGATGTGTACCTTTATTACAAGCTTTCTTTCAAAAAAAGATACTATCAAGAGTTATAAAAATGATCTTATTCTAGCTAGACCTAGTAAATGCTGGAAAAATATCCATAGATAATCATTTAATAGAAGGGGGAAATGTYATAGAGACCTTTCATTGCATCATTGACATTGCTTTTGCTCATTGGTGGAAAATAGTGTGTCTCAACTCTTCTCAGCACACCTGAGTGATGTTCACAGTCTCTCTAATGACAGTATCATTTCTTAAATCAATGATTACCATCCAGAACTGGGAAAGAGAACTATTAAAATGTGAAAAATTTTCCTAGTTGATTCTCATCCCAAGGTGGGGGTATTTAGTGCTGGTCTTAGCCACCTGGGAGCTGAAGACCCTTCTGTGTCCTTGCTATGTGCTGGATGGCCCTGTGACTCTGGTATTTTCTCACCCCGTAGGGAGGTGCAYTGCTGGGAGGTGTGAACGCTCTCCACACTTCCTTTCCTGAAAATCCTCAGGCGCAGTACCAGAGACAGTGTGAACTTATTCTGGAAAAACTGGAGCTGCAGAGCCTCTTAAATGAAGAGCTTGAAAGACTTGAAAGGTGAGGAAGGAAAACCAAGAAAGGCACATAGTGGAAAATAACTTCTCTGGCATTTAGTGAAACAAGGGAATGTAAACTGAATAGAATCTATCTATATTGTTTAAAGAGCATTGTTATCTATTATCTATTATCTGTTATCTATTGCTGTAAAATCAACCATTCTAAATCTGAGTGGTTTAAAAAAAAATTCCACAACTTTAATGCTCACTTTCTGGGAGTCAGAAATTCAGGCAGGCTCAGGGGAGATGGCTTGCTACTTACTCCATGTTGTGTCAGCTGGGGCGACACCTCAGAAACTTAGCTTTCTCATGATTTGAGAAGATGTGGATAATAGTCATGACAGACACATGGGAAGGAATGTGTTAGTCAAAGCAAATCAGTGGAAGCATGGACTCTGGCTGCCTGAAGAAATTTGACCATAACTTTAATGTTTGCCTATTTCCTAAATACATGGGTTTCTGCAAAGCTAGACTTTGTATACCTGAGAAAGAGTAGTAAGGAATGGCAAGCTTGCTCATTCAGGCATCTTCATGTTAATGTGAATGGCTTAATAATTGACCTGAATCTGATAAATGAAGTGCATATGGAGGTGGAGCAACTCCAGGAGAATTTGGGGACCACAATGGGATAGATACTGTATTAAGTAAAACCTTGGAATTCTTTGTTACTATTTATTTATTTATTAGCTCTAATCAGTTATACACAACAGTAGAAAGCTCTCTGATTCATTGTACACAAATGGAGCAGAATTTTTCACTTTTCTGGTTGTGCATGAAGTAGAGTCACACCATTCATGCCGTCATACATGTACCTAGGATAATGATGTCCATCTCATTCTACCGTTTTTCCTACCCCTTTGCCCCCGCCCCCCTCCCATTTGTCCCATAGAAAGTTCCTCCACTTATCCCATGCATATYCCCCCATATGAATTAACATTCAYTTATCAGAGAAAACATTTGGCCCCTGATTTTTTGAGATTGGCTTATTTYACTTAGCTTGATGGTCTCCAACTCCATCCGTTTACCTGCAAATGCCATAATTTTATTCTCTTTTAATGCTGAGTAATATTCCACTTAGTATATGTACCATAGTTTCTTTATCCATTCATCTATTGGAGGGAATCTAGAAAACCTTGAGAATTCTTTTCTCTTCCATTTGCTTCCTTCTCCTAGCAGCATTCTTTTTTATTTATAAAACCTAATCAGAGCCCCCCTAGGGAAGTCAGGCATGAAGGGACTGGCTTTATCCCACCAGTGCCCAGATGACAGGCTGCAATTAACTTGCAGTCTGTATGAAATCAGCCCCCCTTTCTTTTGGCTTCTCATCTCTTCTTATGATCCAGAGCATGATGCTAAGATCAGTTACTCTGTTGGGTGGTTTATGGTCTGACCTAGCCAGTTGTTTCAAGCCCTTCCTGGATGTGGATTAGCCTTTGGAGGAGCTACTCATTTTGACCTGCCCAAGCTACCAGAAGCTGAAAAATGATGCATTCAAGAAAGGAGAACCAGTGTTGTGTGTTAGAAAAATGACAGTTGGATTAGCCAAATTCAGAATGACTTGCTTAAAGGAAAGAASAGGAGGAAAAAAGTATGTGACTATCTGAAAGATAGGATTCTGTCATAAAATGTTGTTTCTTATTGTATTTCTTCATAATGCAGAAGTATATTCTAATGTTGATCCTCAAAGCAACAAAACCAGGTGCTGAAAGTCTGACCTACTCTTATCAAGTGAGAAAAATACAACTAGCGTATAGGTTTTTACTCTTCAAGAAAGAGTTCTTCATTCCTTAAGGAAATCACATAATTCAAAAAAAATCACTGATATTTTTGTCATACTTTCTAGAAAATGCTTTACCAGAGACAGCATGCTTCAAATAATGACATTCTAGTACTCACTTTGGGGAATCAGAAAGCAGAGGGCACAAAGATGTCTTATAAGAAAGTATAATAAAACTGCACAAACTTTATTTGTGGGAGTGTTTAATTCCTGAGTAAGAATTAGATAAAAATAATAGGGCAAAATTATTCTATTCCTAAAATTTCTCATCATTTAGTATATTGTTATAAAGCTTTAACAAGTGAGTCCTCCTGACCTCTATTTGATGCTGAACAACAGTAATTTTGAAAGCTACTTGATTTTTTAATTATAACTCAAATTAGTCATAATAAACATGGATTTTCCATGTCAATATTTCCAAATTTACTGTAAATGACTATAACTCAATATTTTCTTAAAACTTCTTTTTTCTGAGTATAAAGGTAAAACATGTTCTTTGTAGGTGGGCTATTTTAGAAATTAGCAGTAATAAGAAAACAAAAATAATAATCTTATTTCCCATAGATAAATACTATTAACATTTTAATGTATGGAAATAAATTTGTATTTCCTTCTAGTCTCTTCTCTATGATTACACGTAATTTTAGAATAATTTTCTCATCTGCTTTTGGGCATAATTTTTTTTCAGATTTAGTACATGGAAATGGGGTCATGTCACACTTTATATTGAGAAGATGTTTCTAGGGTGTTAAGGGCTTTTTAATGGGCATACTTTGGGAGTAGTACAATCCCTGTTAGAAATTCAGTTTCTAATGTGCCCAATATTTAGAATGAGTATCACTGAACAGATCATTCAGAGAGGGTTGGCTTTAGCTCTCTATCAGATTGATAAGAGAGCCACTGTCCAGATTTTATGTTGAAGCATGGCTGGGCTTTGCAGGAAAGGGTGTCAGAGTTACCTGCAATTRTCCACTATGAATGTGAATGTTCTAGGGGCAGTGCCAGTGCCAGTGCCAGCATAGAGGTATCATAGAAACCTCATTCCTGGGGAAAGTGACTTTTAGGTGCACTGAAATCCAGTTCCTTTGTTGGGTGAAGAGATCTACAGAGAGCAACAAGCCAGTTATATTTGAACATTTTTGCATGAGAGATAAGACTGAACATTTTACACWAACCTCCAATCTTAAATGAATTAAATGAACTTTCAAAGAGACTTAAAATTGTAGAGTAACCATTGATTCATTTTCTTAATTTTGCTACAATTTTATTTAAAATTAGAATGCCTATCACAGCACTGAACTCTATATTGATTTTTTTAATAAAGGATAATCCTTTTGCTGCCCTAAGCATCTATGTTTGATATTAATTTGGAATTATGTTAGACTTAAACCTTTAAGATGAGATCTCAGAGACTGAAGAAATGAAAAGGTTAATGTAGATTCTCTTCCCTTCAATACCTATTTTCCTTATTTGTCTCCATTCCAGGTTACGGAATGAAAGGGCATGCCAATCCCAACCACGGGTAATGGAGACAGAAACTGTTTCAGGGTCCTCAGGGAATGATACAAGGGAAGAACCAAAGTTTAGAACTTCAACACAGCAGGACCTGAACTGTAGCCCACATACTTCCTCCCTTGGAGGCAGTCCCCAGGGAGGCCCACTTCTAGACCTCCAACCCCATCTGAGGTCTGACRAAACAACAAGTAGAAGACATTCAGCTGAGCTCAAAGATGGCAGAGATGACGGTTTGGACTGGTTTGACTTCATGGCACCAARTAAGATAGAACCTAAAAATACTGTTCTCTCTCCTGGTCCTGAAGCAACTAAAAAAAACAAGGCGATGAAAATCTCTAAGAACAAATCTCAAGGTAGGGAAAAGAGTGGGCCAGGCCAAGAATCTGGGCCACTTCTATCACCAGGAGCAACAGGTGGTCCACTGAGGCCAGGAAGTGTGGAGGGTAAAAAGGCCAAAAGGAGAGCACTGGTGTCTGAAGCAGCAGTCCCTACTGATGAGCCCGACTCAGTACTGACTCAGCATGTCCCTAGCAGGTTGCTCAGGCTGCGCAAGGAGAAGGCCCAGGTGTCATCCAAAAGTACCGCCAGTGTGCCTTCACAGCCCACAGACCCTTCTGCTGCTCAGTCCATTCCTGCACATGGGCCAGAAAAAACACCAGAAATATCCAAGGGAAAGAGATTGAGATCCCTTGCTCAGGAAGAAGAGTCTGAACTTGAAAGTGTTAATCCAGTTCTCCCAGTAGCCAAACTGGCAAAGTTTACTTTCGAACAGAAGTCAAAACTGATTCACTCCTCTGAACAACACAGTCATGCATCTTCTGGCACAAGTAAAATAACAGTTTGTAGTCCTAAAATTCCCCAACATAGAATACGAAGAGAAGCAGCTGTGTCTGTGCAGGGTCCAGAAAAGCTGACCTCTACCTCAGGAAACAGAAACTTCAATCAGCAACAGAGTGAAACAAAGGAGCTGTTACATCAGCCACCAGAGAAGGATGGATCAAGAGAGGAGAAGGAATGTGGCCCTGAAAAGAGGGTTATTCAGCCTGAGTTGGAGCTTGGGAACAAGACTGGGCATTCTCATCTAACTTGTGAGACAGACAGAAAGGAAGAGGTTTCATCCAGTAAGAAAAGCAACAAGGTTCACGCTGGCACGTTGGCCAAATTGGCAAACTTCTCTTTTACTTCCTTGCTGGAATCCAAATCAGAGTCCCCTCCTCCTCCTGAAAGGAAGAACTGGGGTGAGAGAGGCCCCAGCCCGCCTCCTCCAACCACAGATCCAATGCTTGAGAGTAAAAGGAAATCTTTTCAGCTGCAGGGCTCCGCTGAGAAACTGATTCTTTCTAAAAATTCTCTCTTCACTCTATCAGAGCTAGATGATGAAGCATTAGATTTTGACTGGGATGAAGAGATGAGAAAAAAGCCATAATTGTGGAAAGCTTTCTGATCAAATTCACCTTCCCTGACTCAACATAATACCCTCAGATTATCAGTGTAGTATTTATAAGTGTATGAACTATCATCCATGTCCATTTTGAGTACCATTCCAAATACCAGCTTCCCCATCAAGTTTTATTTTTCAGGTTTATCTTCATGACTTAAAAAAGTTGTCTAATTTGAATAAGAGTGATAACAGCACTCGAAATGAATGGATTATGCTTAATTTTGCAAATGGAGTATTCTCAAAGATGGTTTTGTTATTTCATCTTTTTTTTTAAATGAGGAGGGGCTCATTCCTAAATCCCTTCTTTCCAGGAAAAAAATGCTTCAAAGGTAGCACTCATAAGTCCAAAGGCAGATGAACTCTTCTATTTTTTCTTTTTTATCTTTACCCAGGATGTACTAAGTATGGTGAATATTTATTATCACTTGGAATTATCATGTGTTTTTCTAATATTGCTTTTGTGTTTATTCTCATGCACCAGATTAAATGTGGCTAATACTTTTCTCTGAGAGGTATCCTTACAACTCGATAGCATTCTGAAGATCTGACAGCTAGTCAAATAGTAGATTTCTGAAGTACTGATCTTTTGAGTTTTCTTTTTTCTTGATCCAACATTATGTGCCTCAGATTCTTTTTTCCTCTCAGGGACCTACCTTTCACACAACTTAAATTATTATGTGGTCAGTAAAAAAGAGTGTACCCTAGTCTCAGCCATACATCATGTCACATGTACCCAAGTGGTTAATATGGAAATGTGATTCCTACCAAGATATGATTCATTTGTCTTTAAAATAAAGCAAATGATTATTTTTGACAGGAATAGATAACTTAAACTCTGTTTTTCTGTGTGCATTTAAATCACTTCTTCCTTTGGCTTCTAGCAAGGTCCTTGGGATTACTTAATTACAGTCTTTCTKTTCTGAATTATGCGTTTGTACCATAATGATTGATTCCTTAATTGTCTGAAAAACTTTTGGGCATGAAAATTACTCAAATAAATGTACTTTTCTAAGCTTTTACTTCATTAAATTTAGAGAAAGCCAAATTTGGTAAACAAATTTTTCTTAAGCATTTCAACATTAATTCAAATATTGACTAATTAAAATTTCTAAAAAAATTTAAACTATGAGTACAAATTCTGTATGTATAAGTCTTTTGAAGTCTTCAAACATCTTAAACAGCTGATAAAAGATACAAGTAATGATCATAAAATTGACTTACACCTTTTCTAAAACATTAAGATTATAGTGTAAGTAATTTATTATTTCTTTACTTGGTCAGTTACTTCCTGTATAGTACAATTCTTAATCTAATGTATTCCTACTCTTAGTACTCTTTCTTTCCTGAGTTTCATTATTCTTCAACAAAGGGGAAAAGAAAGGGTTTGGGTTTTTGACCAGTTGAATCTAGTCTGGATATGGTTGTTGTATAGACAAGAGTAATTCAAACCTGAGCCACATTGTGGAGCTGACTTTTTATGTTTGAAACTTGGTATATTTTGTAGTAATGACACACATTGGATTTTACATGCTTGACGATACCTAACCTATTGGCTTGTCATTAGGGTATTTTGATCTCTTGTTATCATTTAAAATGTTTGTATTCTTTTGGGAATCTTCATTCTGTTTCATTTCTTAGTGATAAGAAATTCAGTTTTGTAGTTTTTTAAAATTTTTTATTCTTATTTGTTATATATGACAGCAGAATGCATCACAATTCATATTACACATATAGAGCACAATTTTTCATATCTCTGGTTTATATAAAGTATATTCACACCATTCGTGTCTTCATACATGTACTTAGGGTAATGATATCCATCTCATCCCCCAGCACCACAAAAAACCAAATAATTTTTGTAGTTTTTTCTAGTTAACTTGTCAAGAACATTAAGTAATTCATATTTTAAAATACAGTGTTTAATTGTATCTCTTCCTTGGTCTTTTGTGTGACCACCTGGGCTATTTTCTGTATGGTATTATTTGTGCCCATCATACTCCTGTTATTTATATTAGGCTGACAACATCCTATTATTTGTGCAACTTTAGTACCTATTACCAGGCTCATCTGGCTGAATTATAATTTCTTCTTGCTTATTCTTTGGTGCCTACCCAGATAGAAATAACCACATATGGCAATATTATAAACAAAATTATTAGCCGAAAAATATTTGGTGTAAACACCTAATTACAAAAAAAAAAAAATTAAACTTTTAGTACAGCCTGCTCTTGCATTATGGCCCCTTGCTGTACTTGTATTTGATTCAGACTGACAGCTTGGTCAGTGGTCCCTTTGTGCTGATTCCAGTGTCCCTTTAGCACCCTGATATTTCTGAAAGCATCCATGCTATCTGAGAACAATCCAGACCCACTTTTATTTTTTCCTCCCCCATGTTACAGAATCAGCCAGCCCCAAGGTAGATCTATTTTCTTTAGAAGTCAGTGATATTTAGAGACCAAATTCTGGGTCTCAGAGAYACACAAAAGAGTCACTAGTGAGCAAAGGTTCTACCACTGCTATTGGGTCATTCTTAGTGGCTGCAGAATGGAAAATATTTTAATATGTTGAGATCACATTTTATCCTGCTGTGCCCTTCCTTTCTTACATTATGTAATTGTACAACTAAAACAATCTCTCATATGGTCTTTGTGTGTATCAAAGAAACACATAGAGAGAATGTGTAGAATCTAAAGGATCGTATTGCAGACAATAAAGAAAGATGTAAAAATTAACCTTTAATTCCAAMTCATCATGCCAAAATATTTTATCACAGGTCATTGGACTCCTTAATATCATTTTAATAATTATAAACAATAAAAACTATACTTAATTTTTGTRAGCGAAAAGAGTAGACTTTAAATTGATTATAAAAAATTGACCCTGTAAAAAATTAATCTTCAGTGTATATTTACATTAAAAAGTTTAAAAAAGAATTTTATTATTATAATTTCAGTATTCTATAGAGATACAGGAAAACTAAGCAAATTATTCTGATATTTTTAACTCTTCTAGGCTTTTTCTGAAAGCATACCAACAAAATTTTAATAATAAAGACTTATTTTTGGCTAACAAATTTTAATTCTAACCAATTTACATTTTTTTAAATTAAAATGTCAGTTTTTTTCTAGAGCCAATTAGGGTCTTTAAAGAAGTTGTTACTTCCAAAGTACAAAGACAAGTTAATGACAATTCAAATCTACATATTCTTTATGTGCACRTGATCTTGATCTCTTACCCAAATGCTAACCCACCTGGAAGACAAAAGCTAGAAAAGAGTTTAGGGCAACCACTAGGAGGATTCCTGGAACTCTTAGCCAGACCACAGCATTGAGCAGTTCAGAACCCACCTACTCTGGAATTGGGGTTATTACTAGGGACTACCCAGGACCTTGTGAGCCTTTCAGATAGTTTATCAAGCAACTTAGTTCCAAGCTTAACAACCTCACAGATGGGAGAAGAAGCTGGTGCCGGTTACTCAGTGTTCAGAATAACATCTTTCATGTCCGCTTTTCATATTATTAACATCCAAGGGGTATAAAGGGCTCTTGGCTCATGTTAGTACTCTCTCCAATTGGGGTTTTGCTGTAAGTGTCCCATCTGTGTGCAGCATAGTCTCTGTGGTATGTATGGAACCATCACCCACACAAATCCTCTTTACTATCACTAAGAAYATACACAGGAAGTGGTGGTCACTCCCCTTATGACACACTCTGTTTTCTTAARTCAACTCTACAGATACACCTCTTCACTTAAAGGCTTAAAAATGCATCTAAGGATAATATTTGTGAAAGTATACTTGACAAACGATGAACTAGATGAAATAAAAGTGTTGATGTGTCTATGTAAATACTCTAGTGTGAGATATAATACAAGGAAGAAAATATGGTGTGTATACACACACATACTTACACTGGGCCTGATCTTACCACGAAGTAGAGACTAAATTTTCTCTTATGAATACAAATTATTTTTAGACCACTTTTTCTGTTTGGTTGGAACCTTAATGCCTTAGCATAGTTGAGCCATGAGAAAACAAGTTATGTTAATGTAGAGACAAACATGGTTTAACTTAGGGTTTTCATAATAAATTAAACCAGTGTTGAAATATTGCTTAAGGTTTCAGGTCTAATTTATGTATCAGTTCCCACTGATCAGGTGAATTGGGTTCTAGAATTGGCCAGCCGTAACCTTGTCATGGCCAGTTGTTTCATCCATAAAAGCAGAGGGCCAGGCATATTTGAGTCAGTATTATTGAGTTACAAAAAAAGAAAAACCTCAGAAGCTAGCTGAAATAAAAGTAGGTTTGCTGTAAGAATATAGCAGGGAGACTCATTAAGAACAGGAAAGTCTGACTGGATCAATATGGCTGTAGAGCTGGAAAGTCAGGCCTGAAGCTCTTCCCTATGTCTCTCCTGGGTCCTCAAGTTCCCTCCCCACTACTTGTCAGTCCTGCCCCCTGGAAAGCCTGTTGTCTGTGCTTAAGGCTTGTTCACTCCAGKCCTCTATAGCTTTTGATAGACTTTGGAGCCTGGTTCTAGGTCTCTCTTAACTCTTCCAAATGAGCACCCATCTCATCTCACTGATTCTGGCTCTGTGCTTTTTATTTCAAAAATCTTGATTTGTTCGCCTTGCTTCAAAATGGAGTGGATGGTGGAGTGTGAGTGGCCACCTGGCATAAACCCAACAGCCTGGGCTGTGAATAGAGACAGTCACTTGAGTGGGAAGCAGTGGCTGGCCTGTCTACCACATCCCTTTCTCCAAGGGGTTTTTGGCTACAGGTCCTATAATTCTATAAACTTTATTGATTTTGTTCTACTGCCTGAGTTGAGAGAACATGTTTCTGAAGATACTTGGATCGTCTTTCCCAAAGGAGCCAGGTAAATTGCTAGCCATCTGCAGCCAGGTGATATCCAGGGACTGTGAGCAGCAGCTTCTGGCCATACTCCAAGGGCAGATGAGGCTGCAGACTGCAGAGAACTGTTTATTGTGTCACTGCCTATGGAGCTTCTGTTTTCCTATGCTGAAGTTGCTCATCACAACTATATCATAGCTGTTAAAAGTACTTAGATGAAAATCAATAGATGAGAGTATGTGAAGGGTATTTCCCTGAAATACATTTAGGAATACTCAGCAATTAAGACACATGTTTACATATCCCAGATTTTTGAACTTTACAATTGTCAACAAAGCAGAGACTAAATCCTCTTTGAGGAGAGGGAAATACCTAAGTACGTTATGCCGTCTTTAATCTTTTTCAGAACTATTCAGAAGGAATAGTACCAAATAATTTTAAATGGAGAAGTAATGCAATTTCAATATTTAATGATCTCTTTTATCATTGTAGGGAAATTAAACTCCTTTTATAGTTGGAAGGCCTAAGATCATCTTTTTTTAAAAAACATTTTATTTTTTAGTTGTGGGTGGACACAATATTTTTATGTGGTGCTAGGGATTGAACCCAGTGCCTCACGCATGCTAGGCAACCGTTCTACCCTACCCCCCCCCAAGATCATCTTGAGGGATCTACCATATCTAAGATGATTTGCTGTCTCCTAAGGCTCTCAGTGTGAAGTGGGGAATGACACTGTTGCCTGAGGCACTGTTTTGGTAAGCTTTTTTGCTACTGTAACCAAAAGATCCAACCAGAGCAGTTTTAAAGGAGGAAATGCTTATTTGGCATTCACAGTTTCAAATGGCCAATTCTGTTGCTCTGAGCCCAAGGTGAAGCAGAACATCACCCCAGAAGGGCATGGCAATCAGGAAGCAGAGGGAGTAAGCTGTACTTACCAGGGACAAAATACAAATCCCAAACCTATCTCTTCCAGCTGCACTTGACCTGCCTACAGTTACCACCCAGTTAATCCATACCAGTGGATCGATCCATTGATTAGGAYACAACTCATCATCTAATCATTTCACTTCTGAACTGTCTTGCATTGTCTCACATATGAGCTTTTGGGGGATACCTCACATCTAAACCATAATAGGTACACT